GATGAGGGCAACAAATGTATAGATGTGCTTTACACAATTGATCTATGTATTGTGATAAATTGTATGAGCCCCAATAAATTGATTAATTAAAAAAAAAAGAAATAAAAAAAATAAAATAAAATAAGCTGAGCTCTGTTTGGACAGGGAAACGATGAGGCTGTTGGTAGACTTGCCAAAGGAGAAGAACAAACAAACAAACCAAAACAGCAGTGTGGACCAGCATGAGCTTGGTGGTGAGAGGGAATAAAACATGGAAATGACCAAAGGGGTGGCCCCATTCCAAGTGGAAAGATGCCTGCTGAGAGGTTATGGGAGGGGCTTGAGTTTTAATCTGAGTTTCATTTACTTGATAATGTGTTCAATTTATCCTGTGCTGATTGAGAACATCTTCAGATAGCTGATCCCATTAAACAAGGCCAGGCCTACCAGCTGAAGTCAACTGGAATTAAAATCAAGTAAGAGTTCATTATCTGGAGGCATCATTTTGAAGTTCAAGAGTGGAGGAAAAAATGAACTGCCTTGCTTAGGTCCCATTCTCCAAATACTCGGCAGCTGGTGGAAGTGAAAGGCGTCAAAGAGGAGCGTAGGTGGGAAGTGCAGCTACCTCTGTGCCTGTGTCTTTGGCTATCGTTGGCCAGAGGACTAGTCTAATGAGGAGATAACTCACAGTGTACCAAGGGGCTCTGTGGGAAAACGAGGACGCTGGCTGCTTTCGTAAAGATTCACTGTCTTAAAATCCAAACAGGCTGCTCTCTCCTCTAGGGTCACTAGGTGTTGGCCCCAAGCCGGTGGCAGATGGGTAGCGGTCCAGAGGGAGAAGGGTCAGATGTTTTCATCAGGGCTTCGATGGAAAGCAGCTCACTCTGTGAATAGACGGAGACTCTATTACTTATTCAAACACAAGTTGAAATGGACCCAGAGCAGAACAGCCCCAATGGGTTCGTAGCTTGTCATCTGTTGGTAGCAGACTGCCCCGACCTTGAGTTACCACCTCAGTGCTCAACCAGGGTGTCACCAAGGTTCTTTATCCACACACATTAACTCTAAATCAAATGACACACAACAGGCCCCTGCCTTCTTCACCCACATTCTGGATGCCGCCCGCACCCCCCACTATCGTGTTCATGAGGAACAAATGCTAAGAGACCCTTTAGCAAGGTCGTTCTGCATTCCTATCCAGATCCAAGGGCCAGGGAGTGAGGACGATGCACAGACCACAGTGGGGAGAAGCTGTATCCTGCATCCTGAACAACCTGGGCTGGAACGTGTTCCCTTCTCTGGGCTTGGCTCTCACTCCCATTCTATTCTCCTCTGGGAGCACGGATGTAAATAAGCGTAAAGGTGGTTTGTAAAGCTAAGCTGAGCATCGGGGGCTAGAGAGGAAATTCTCAATCAGCAATACCTTTGCTCGGTGTTCCTCCTGCCTTCTCCTCCCTAGCCCAACGTCAGCTACAAAGTCTCCTGTCTTCTGCATGGAGATCAAGGCTGGAGCCAATTTATTTGTCAGGGACAGTGTAGTGTTTATTGAGGCCAAAAGGGAGTTCAGTCTAATTTTTATAATACTCTTTTTCAGAACGCTTTAATGAATGGTTTTAAAATTTTCACCATCTTCCTAAGCAGGAGCTAGGATTCTTGGGGGCAGCCCTCCTGTCCAGCTTAGGAGTTTAAAGCACAGGGCTCTTTTTTTTCTGAACACAAGAAGGATCTCAGGAAGAGCTAACTCCTGATCGGATCCAGAGACGCTTTGGGATTGGACGACATCACTTGGGTACCGCCTGAGGTCTGGGACGCCAGCATGGGCCACGGGGAAGAGCCAGCATCTTCACACAGCTGAGCTCCATCTGCACCAGCAGCTTCTCCAGCATTCAGGGTCACCAGGGAATTTAATGGGTCCCCCTCTCCATTCAGAAAAAGATCTTGGTCTAACTTCTTGAAAATTACCCACTAGATTATTTTAAAGCTCCTCGCTGTAGATTTCTTAGTAGGTAGCATTTGTTGACTTCGGTAATGAGAGGAGGGGGCATTCACGTCTATCCCCAGGGGGCAGGCATGACACTGAAAGTGTGTGTGTGTGTATGTGTGTGTGTGTGTGTGTATTAAGATGATAATGCTTCTTCCGAAGTGCTTTATTGCAAATCAAATGTCAAGTTAATTGTTTTCTGACTTGAGGCCAGGCCCCTCTGATGACGGGAAGGCAGTCAGTAGACCTGCCTACTCATTGTCAGAGGGTCAGATCAGCCTGGAACCCAGTGCAATTTAGTAGATCCTCACAGAAGGTGTTTTCAAAGAATGTGATTCCATGTATTTTTTGGAGTTCCATGGGAACGTTAACGTTCCAAGATCAAAATAAACTGAAAGAGAAATGCTCATGAACGATTATGATGCTTTACGTTTAGTAAGAGATGTGTGGTCAGCCCCGGGGCTTTGGATATTGGAAGCGTTCAAGTGCAGGGGAACATGGACTGACTCCGAACATCTTGCTTGTCTCCCTGTCTGTCTGTCTGTCTCTCTCTCAGCTTGCACCTATAAGAACCAGGAGTGCCGTCTGACCGTGCATTATGAGAATGGGTTTTCTGTTACCACGGAACCACAGGAGGGTGCCTTTACCAAAACCATCATACAGTCTCCTTATGAGAAGCTCAAGACGTCTTCGGATGATGGGATCCGGATGCTGTATCTAGATTTTGGAGGCAAAGACGGAGAGATTGTAAGTGAGCTTGTTTTCCGGGGCACGGGACTTTGTAGCTTGCGTTTTGCAACACAGCTGGGAGGACTCAAAAGCGTGATGCATTCTTACATTTATGGAGCCACTGGCTAGTCACCAAGTCCTCCCAGACCTATGTCTTACCCAAGCCGAAAAAAACCGTGATTGAATCTAGGGGGTTCAAAGTTCTTGACTTTGGTCTCATTTCCCATGAGGTCTTCATAAGTATTTGAATTAAAAGAAAAAAATCCTTCACAGTCAGTATTAGATCCTTATCAAAGAGGGCCCACTCCCGCCACCAGCTCCAAAACATACCATTCACTTGTTAAAAGCATGGAACATATATGATCACTTCAGTAATGTGCTGCTAGGGACACAGCTATTGTGCCAATTGTAGAGGATGTGAAGGACACCGAGGAGCCATCAGACAGCAGAGAAGATCAAGAGCAAGGCGGTGGGGGTGGTGGGGAGGGCAGAGTAGAAGATGCTCCAGGGAAGCCATCAACTCTATCCTTGTGCAGAGAGGGGCAGACAGGATGCAGACATTCCGGGAGAATATCAAAGAATATCCAGCAAAATTAGCACCTTCACCACTTAAGGTAGTATTTTGGACTCTCTGAGTGGTGCCAACGGTTACCATACTCAGCTGTTAACTGAGAGGTTGGAGATTTGAGGCCACTCAGAGGTGCCTCGGAAGAAAGGCCCAGTGATCATTCCCAACGTCCCTGGTGACTTTCCCAAAGGCAGCCATTCAGAGCCCTGTGGAGCGCACTTCTACTCTGACACGCCAAGACCCTGCTCATCGAGATTTGGAGTCCACACGTTGGTCACTGCATGTCTAGTAAGAGACTAGCTATACTTTCTGTATCAAGGAAAATAGCCCCTCTGTTTAAATTCACAATTTCTGGGGACCACCACTGCCTGTCAGAATAGAAAATTATTCACAAAAGCTTGAAAATGGTACCTGCCTCTACGTTTAGCAAGTGTGGTGGCCGTTACTGCTGTCACTTGTCCAGAGGTCAAGTTCGGACTCACAGCGACCCGATGTGCAGCAGAACAAATCACTGCGCAGGCCTGTGCCAGCCTCAGAAGCACTGCTGTTTCAATTGTGTTGCAACCACGGAATCAATCCCATACCCAGGGCCTCGCTCTTGCTCTCCGACCCTCTACTGGACCAAGCTTGATGGCCTTCTCCCGGGCCAGTCAGAAGTGAGACAGAGTTTTGCCACCCTCACTTCGAAGGAAAATCCCAGCTGTACTTCTGTCCATTCAGATTTGTTGATTCTTAGGAGAGTACATGTCATATGTTCAATATTCATTTTCTCTATAATTCAAAAGTATCAGTTTTTCTTCAGACTTCCTTATTGTCTAGCTTTCCCATGCATATGACGAGACTGAAAATACGTGGCATTTTAAGCTTCAAAGTGATAGCTATCCTTTTTAAATATGTCTAAGAGATCTTTTGCAGTCGACTTGTCCAGTACAACATATTGCTTGATTTCTTAATGGTTCCTTCCATGGGCATTGATTATGGATCCAAGTAAAAAATAACCCTTGACAACTTCATTCTTTTTGTCATTTAAGCTGATGTTGTCCGTCAGTCCCTTAGTGAGGTTTTTGCTTTTCTCTGGGTGGAGGTGTAGCCCATCATGGGGCGGTATTCTTGACTCTTCATCAGTAAATGCTTCAAGTCCGCTTCATCGACTGTTAATGAGTCTTCCTCCAATCCTAATGCTGTGTTCCACATTTAGTCCAGCCTCTTGGATTCCCACTACACACCTTGCCTGATTTTAAATCAGGCACTCTCCCCCTGCAGTCTTGGTATGTGTACAGAGTCTGCCTGAGCACAGTCAAGTGCTCTGGAATGTAATCCATGATTTGCTGGGAGCCACACAGAAGCATCTCATTTAGTATTCCATCAACTCCAGGGGCCGTGGTTTGCATCATTTCCTTGAGTACAACTTGAATTTTCTCTGTCGATACCATCAATCCTTAACCATAGGATATCAACTAAAATGACCGAATGTCATTTAGTAGTGACTGTGTGATCTTTCCATCCTGTTTGATGCTTCTTTCATCGGTCAATGCCTTGCCCATAGAATCCTTTAATATTATGACTCAAGGTTTCGTTTTTAATTCCGTTCTTTAAGCTTGAAAAATGGCAAACCTCTTCTTCTCTTTGGGTTTTCTAACTCCGGGTCTTTGTGCTTTTCATTACAATAGTTTGATGTCTTTTCTAGCCACTTTTAACCATCTTCTTCTTGGCTCTTTGGTTTTATCCTGTCTTTCACTCACGTTAGCTAGTCTCGGTGCAAGATCCAGTTTCAGTGTCTTATTTGGTGTCTACCTTGGTCATGTCTTCCTTTCCTAATTAAGGACCCTTTGTTTTCTTCACGCATGATGCCCTTACCATCAACCCACACTCATCTCGTCTTCCATTATTAATGTGGATGGTGTCTAAAGTCAGGTGGGGTAGACTCAAGGTCATGCTTTACCTCTCTCTAATGGACCGGTTTTAGTTTTCTTCAGCTTCAACGTAAACTCTGGATGACCAATTGATGGGCTGTACCCCAGTCATCCCCTGACCTTGTTGGGACTGGTGGTATTGAGCCTGCCCATCATCTCTTCCCCCAGATCTACTAGATTTCATTCTCATGCAGTCCATCCAGTGAGGTCCAGATGTGTAGTCACCATTTATGTTGTTGGAAAGAAGATATTTGCGATGAATGAATTGTTGCAAAAAAATCTATCACTGGACTCTCCGAGGCCACATTCTCTAGCTCCTGGTCCTCTTTGTTTCCAACTCCCATGTGTCAGTCACCAGGGATCATCCGTGCCTGTTGATGGCAGGCGTGAGCACTTGCAGACTGCTGACATTGGCGAAAGCTTCGGTTCCTTCATCTTTGGTTGCGGTGTGAATTTGAATGGTAATTGTACTAACTGACCTTGAGAATGTTTTAAGGTTGTCGCTCTTTGGAAGTAGATCATCATGCCTTGCTCAGTGGTGTCTGTGGGTAGATTTGAACCACTGACCTCAGCTAGCAGTCATGCTCCCCACTGCTTGTGAAACGCAGTGTTTCTGCACTGTTTTTCTGGGTCATGCTGAGACTGCATGCATCACTGCAGTACCAGCGTTCTTCCTGTGACATGGCTGCCCCAGGCTCTCCAGTGGGCTGTATTCACTTCCTGAGAATTATTTACAGGTATATATAGAGATATGTGGATAAGTACATTTATATCTGTCCATATATTGATATATATATATATCCATCTATCTATCTATGGATACCTTTAAAGTGGATTCATGGAGTTTTACTAGATTGTTGTGTTTGTCTTTCCATCTGAGCTCAGCCTGAAGCACCAGTTTGGAGACCAGGTGACTTGAAAGTACATTTCCAGAAGAATACGTCTAACTTGGCTGTCGCTCTATCAATCACACGGCTGTGTACATTTTCTTTTCCGCTTAAAGGCGACAACTCCCTAGCAAAATAGAAAAGAACAAGAATCAACATCCTATTTTACCCTTGACTTACACATTCAAGCCAACTTTTGCCCATGAGGAAAATCCCCGTGTGGCAAATTTCTGCTTTTCTACCTGTACTTATGCTCTGACTTGAAGATACAGGATTTCTTTTTGTGCTGCCCGTACATTAGGTTGATAAGCCCAATTTAAGGCTCCCCACCCCTGCCCTGAAGTCATTCTGACTCATGGTGACCCTCTAGGACCGAGTAGAACTGCCCCTGGGGTTTCCAAGGCAGTAACTCGTTGCTGGAGTAGAAAGCCTCAGCTTTCTCCATACGTGGGTTTGAACTGCTGACCTTGTGATTCACAGCCCAACTAATAACACACTGTACCACAAAGTTGACTCCAATATTTCTCGGAGTGGAGGAGGGCAGAGACGAGAAAGGGAAAATAGTAAACTGAGTAGCAGTTCATGCGTGTGTAACTCATGAACTCATTGCCCTGGGCTAGTCCTTTCGTTTCTTTGGATCTGAGTGTCCACCCGACTTTAAAACAGAGGGGCTGCCGTTGGTCCTTATTTTATTTCTGTGGTAGAAAATCGAGAGGTAGGAAGACATCTGACAATTCATGTTTTTCAACTGTCGCCTTTCTCTATTTGCCGATTGGTCGACCTCCGACATGGAGACAGGAAGCACGAGAAAGTGACCAAGTCCACTCTTAGTGCTGGTCCACCCACCTTCCACAGCTGGTGGGGCGACCTCTCGGGTTCCGGGTGAAGCCAGTGAGGAGGGTCGGGTGGCAAGCGTGGTCCTTAACGGCGCAGTGCCCTTTCTCTAAGGAGGGCATCTTTAAGGTTACTTCCTAAAGTCACCTTCTGGGTTAGTGAACCGCAGCATTCTGCTCTGCGTTGGTGACGTGGTTTACGTGTGGCGGTTAAGTGCCTGGTTTTGGCGTCACCTATAGACCTGTGTTTGAGTCCATATTTCCTGTTTACTAGAAGATCCATGATCTCAGAAAAGTTTTTAATTCTCCAAATCCTACTTCCCCCTTAATAAAAAACGAAAACAAAACAAAAGCTACCTTTCAGGACTTTGGTGAAAATTGAATTAGATAATGCATTAAAAATATTTAGCACCATTTATAATAAACACAGGCTTAACTTTGATGGCGTTGGCTGCTACCCAGTCAATCCCAACTCCAAGTGATCTCGCTTGACTGATCAGAACAGAACTTGCCTGTGCTCTCTGTGGGCACAGTGCCATATCTTTCTCCCTCGGCACCTTTGGGTGGAATTGAACTTCCGACCTTTCTGTTAGCAGCCAAGTCTTCAAACCTTTGCACCATCAGGGCACCCTCTTGATACATACTGTTATATCCTCGGATTGCATTGCTCTGTCGCGTCACCATCTGGATAGAATTGGGGACAGACAGCGGGTGGACATGGGGGACAGTGCTCTGCTGGTGTCGTGGAAGAAAGAAGAGGCATTCTCTGAGGGAGAAAATGGAGGCTTTCCGCTGCCGTGAGGAGTCTCAGAAACCCCCAGGGGCAGTTCTACACTGCTCTGCAGGGTGCTGGGAATCACAGTCAACCCCACGGCAGTGGGTTTGGTGTTTCAGGTCGGTTGTTTGTATTTTGAGTTTAGGTCAGAGGATCAAATTCAGCTTCTCAAGACAAGTCTAGCTCTGGCTATGTGTCCATGGGGGTGGGGGTGGTGTCAAAAAGTGTGTGAAAAATGGAATTACAAGATAACAAATTTTTTTCACAAACTTTTGAAGCTTCCTCACACAGGTAGGGTTTGTAAGAACACGCGGAGAAGGATAAGACTTCAGGTGCTGCCTTAACAGAGCTGCGACATCCAGCCTTACAACTGAAGAACAGAGGGCTGTGAGGACAGGACAGAATGTCGACTCTAGACTTACCAGCTTACGAGGAAGGCATCGTTGTCGTTCCTCACCCTGTCATAAGGAAATCTGATGCTGCTATGGGTCAGGCCTTTGGCTCCTAACCATGAAACCCGCGGTTCAAAACTCATCACCCCCATCTCAGGAGAAAGACGAGGTTGTCTTCTTCCAGAAAGATGTACAGCCTTGGAAACCCTGCATAGGGCTTTAGGCCTCAGATGGACTCACTGGCAATGGTTTGGGTTGGGATCCCTTTTAAGTTAATGACCCTGTGAGTTTGGTAACAGAACACAGCTCCTCCATTGAACCACTTCTGACTGCTAGCAACCCGAGAGGACAGCGCAGAACTGCCTCATTGGATTCCCAAGGCTGAACATCTTGACAAGAACAGAAGGCCGTATCTTTCTCCCCAGGAGCGACTGGTGTAGGTGAATGGCTGACCTCACCGTTAGCAGCTCAATGTTTAGCCCACGATGTTACCAAGACTCCTGTGAGTTTTGTAGTCTTGGTGTGTTAGACAGGATTCTCTAGAGAAACAAAACCAGGACACTTATGGAAAAAATATATAGATAGATTTACATAGCAAGAAGGAATATAACAGCTAGTTAGTCCACAGAGGTCTCAGTTCAACTCACTTTTGTGGAATAGTTGATGTACTGAAGATCCTTCAACTCATGGGGAGGGGATGGGGATTTGATCCAAGGTCAAGGAAGCAGACAGAGGAGTCTTCCCTCAGGCAGCAGACAGCAGGTGGGTCAGCAACAGTCAGTAGCACGGGAACTTAGGGAAACAGGCCTGGATAGGATCTCAAATGCAAGCAATGCAAGGCAACAGGGTCCGCAAGCCTCAGGCTCAAGCAATGTTGCACCAGCAGTGTGGTGAGTCAGGTATTAAAGGAGCCTCAAGCTCTAGCAACATGATCCATGGGTTGGCTTGATCCCCGGGTAGTGTAGCACACAGATTGAGGCAGAGAACTAGCTAAAGCAGAAGCACACTGGTCAGATCACCAGAGAGCAAGAAAGACAGGGGCGGGCCTTGCATAGCCATTGATCTTTTTGCCCTGCCCTCCAAACTGGTACCTGATTCATCTCTGCCCACATGTTCCTCTTGGCCAGGTTGGCACAGTAAACCTAACTATCACACCTGGGACCACTTCCAAGTGACTGGTCCATAGTCAAGCATCTAGAGCAGTGGTTCCCAATCTGTGGGTCGTGACCCCTTTGGGGGTCGAACGACCCTTTCACAGGGGTCACCTGATTCATAAGAGTAGCAAAATTACAGTTATGAATTAGCAACGAAAAAATGTTATGGTTGGGGGGTGGTCACCACAACATGAGGAACTGTATGAAAGGGTTGTGGCATGAGGAAGGCTGAGCACCGCTGCTCTAGAGTGTCACAGTCAGGATGTGTCAGAATCCAAATCCACAGGTGGGAGATGCAGTCCTGCCTGGTGCTGTGGTAAACCCTACTGTGGTACCAAAAAGCAAGGCTCTAGACCAGGGGTCCTCAAACTACGGCCCATGGGCCACATGCGGCCCACTGACGACGTTTATCTGGCCCAGGGGTGTTTTTGCCCCATTTTGTTTTTTTACTTCAAAATAAGATATGTGCAGTGTGCATAGGAATTTGTTCATAGGTTTTTTTTTTTAAACTATAGTCCGGTCCTCCAACAGTCTGAGGGACAGTGTTTAAAAAGTTTGAGAACCCCTGCTCTTGCTCTGTATCAATTTCACAGAAGAAATCGTTTAGATATGAAGATGTGGGAGATGTAAAGAATTAGTTCAAAGAGTCTTCCTGTATCTCAGTGGTGAGCAAGGAATTGAAAACATAGCTCCAGTTGACACAACAAGCTCAGAGTACTCATCTGTTGGATGTGTCAATCACTGTTTCATATCAAGCATTCATTGAAGAGCTCTCCTCCTCTCTCCTTTCTCTCTTTCTTTTTCAATTTCAGCAACTAGACCTTCATTCATGCCCCAAACCGATTGTTTTCATCATTCATTCCTTCCTGTCGGCGAAGATTACAAGATTGGGCTTGGTGGCTTGAACAGAGGGGCAGCTTGCCTTTGAGGACAGGACGCGGGGTTGACGCCAGAAACGCGAGCCGTTTGTATGGGAACAGTGCAGACGTCGAAACAAGCCATGGGCGGCTGCAGTTCTCAGGTGCTGTGTGTAACCATCTCAGATGGCTCTGTGGGTTCCAGCAACTCCAGCAGGTGCCCTAAGGGGCCACCGCAACGGCCTTCAGAGCAAAGCTGTCTGTTTAGAACAATAAATGGTGAAAGGGATGAGGGCTATTGGAAAAACACCACATAGCTTTCAAATGACACCCAAGGACATGCCCATTAGAACAGCACGCACAGATCTTAATCATACCAGTTTCCTGGCAACTGGTTCACCCAGGTAAGCAAGGACTGAATAGATGAGATATCGGTATTCCACCTCGGCCCTGCCCCACACCTCCCAGAAACATTCATCCCTTGTTTATTGTGATTTATCACCTGCTTTTAAATCAGTCCTTTACCTGGGAGGGAGAGAAGAGTACTTCTCTCAAATGGAAACTCACCTTTTGTTTAAGTATGAAGCAGCGGTGATGATTATTACTTTCAATTTTACTGAATTGACTTTCAGAGATGTGGAATAGTTGGGAAGTGTCCTCGTTAGCATGTGCTGAGCAGGAATGAAATAAAGCAGCAGAAACTAGCCTGAGCAGAGCACTGGGGGAAGAGTCCGAGCTCAAGGGGACTGTGTGCCTGGAACACAATTAACCCTGGGGCTGCACTCATACCAAGGTCTGCTGTCTTATAGTCAAAACCAATCGCTTTCTTTATAGTAAGCCCATGATGGGTATTGTTTTTAAGATGGTCACCTGAGATCTATATAGAAATACACAACACAGTGCACACAGCTGGGGTAAACGAATTTCCCCTGCCTCGCTGTGGAAGCACCGAGCAGCTTCTTGCCCCTTGTCTCTGCCTGTGCTTGTCTGCATGCGTCTTCTAACAAGTCACAGGGCAGCCTTGCTTCCTCCTGGTTGGTGCTGGGCTGTCTCATGCGCCCAGCACTGCACGTGCACCAATCGCTAGCATCCACGGTACATTCAAGATTCCGGGGAAAGCATATAGTGGCCTGATATTTTTCTACCAGAATATTTTTGGACAGCACATTATTGATTTGAGGCTTTGGCTTGTTCACAATTCACTGGGTGGGGGTGGGGGGCTGTAAAAAAAAAAGGTGGCACCCATCTTTTTATTTTAGAATCACTTTTCTCAAACCTTGAAAATCAGTTCTCGAATTTCTGCAGTTTTTTGTTTTTGTTTGTTTTTCTTTTACATAATCATATTTTAGCATAAACCTATGTATGCAAAGAGCTTTTCAAAAGGGACGCTGTTTTCTAGGAGCGTGACTTTACTCGCTGATGTAGATGGGCTTCTTCACTTGCTCACTTTTATCTTAGGTCAGCTATTCTCCAATCGTGTTCCCTGTGGCACGAGTTCCCGGGGGCACCGATTGAGTGGTGTTTGGGGGAATATGGAAAAAACAAGTGTTTGGTAATAATGAAAGGTTTGTTAAATCCTCTGTGAAAACATGTTGAAGGAGTTTCATGATCACAGGCCCCCTCAAGGATTTTCATCGACATTGTGATTTTTCAAAAGCAGAATGCCTTCCTAATGGACCATAATGTTAAGCTAGTGTTTTATTACAAAAAGCAAGAAGAAATTGGGGGGAGAGGGATGATAATGCCGCTTCAGGACATGATTTGTTTTTATTTCCTATATTAAAATGGTGAAGAATAAAGTCCCAGCCTGAACATTAAAAGAAAGCTTTGCTGCATTTGTAAATTATACTGTACTCTTTTCATTCTATATGTTCAAAATCACTGGAATGTTGTTACAACGATTATTATACTTCTGTATTGTAAATAACATATTAAAATACATATATTAATGCCAATAGTTTAATTCAAGAGTGTGTACTCTAAGGTGCTCAGTACTACATGAAGTATGAGTTAATGACTCATCATTAAGTTACAAACACCCTATTATATATTTATAGACAGATTAAAGTGATCCTAATTATGATTATTTCTTCATCACTTACATTTTGGGCTGATTACTATCTGGGTGAGGGTCAACAGGAATGACATTCTCTGCATTTATAAAATTTTAATTTAAATATTTATATTTCAGACAAATATATTTGAATAAAATGAATGCATTTTCTGCAGTAAACTAAGATGTGTGATTAGCAAGAAATAGAACATTTTACTCAGAGAATTGTGTATATGCATATTTTTTTTTCCTATTCTTCTTCCAAGGAAAACTGTCCCATAACATCGTGGCTATGATGAATCAAGTTCAGATACTCTTTGCGTGGGGTCTCATTCAAAGCCCACAAGTTGCTTTACCTGGTGGAGTTGGAGCTTGTCTTTGTGTTAGTGTGGATGACACCAGCTCTTCGGTGTGACCCATGCCTGGGTACAGTCAGCTGGGACTTTTGGGCAGGGAGGCTTTTGTGCCCCATTCTCTCTGTGTCCAGTCCATTTCCCATTCGAGTTGGTGAATTATTAAATCCACAATGTTTGTCTTTAAACAAAAACCAACAGAAAGGAGCGATGCCTTCACCTAGCCTTTGTGAGAAGCTGCCCACTTGCCAGTGGATGAGATTCGCTGGCCCTGGAGTGATGGAGTCTCTTTAAACCATCTCTTAGGAAGGAGCCCTGGTGGTGGAGTGGTTATGAGTTGGGCTGCTACCTGCAAGGTCAGCAGTTTGAAACCACCAACTGCTCCACAGCAGAAAGACAAGACTTTTTACTCCCTTGAACAGTTGAGTTTTTCAAACCTATAGGGCAGTGCTGCCCTGTCCTGTAGGGTCACTGAATCGACAACGACTCAATGGCAGTAAGCCGAGGGCTTCAAAGGTGAGAAGAGCACACAGGTACCAACTTTTCTACTTGAACCAAGTGGGAGAAAACCCATAGGCCTGTTGTGAAAAGTATCCAGGGAGAGGCCTTGAACCAACCCCATCCCTTGATGAAATTAAAATGCTGCAAGTATGTTCTTGTGTCCACAGGCTTCTTGACCATCCTTGATTGAGGGGCAGAAAGAATGGTCCTGGGGGTCAGAAGGCATCTCCTAAAACGAATGGTGGGGCCTTTGTCGCTCCTGTCTGACAAAAATGAGACAGCCCCGCCATGAAGGGACTGGAATGGGTTGGAAGGAGTGGGTAATTTTTTAATGTATCTTGAGTTTCCAAAAATGTGCCTATGACTATCATGTAAAATTGATATATGAATTAAATGAATATTCACCTGTGAGTGCCAGTGGTGTTTATATTACATTACAAAGATAGAAGATGACAGACCGATTGGTGGCTTCATGAGAGTTGGGGTGGGGGTGGGGGAGCGGCGCTATGGGAGTCTGGAGAAAACAAAACACACGCACTGTCATCAAGTTGATTCCCGCTGTCCTTTATCTTCTTAGGAGAAACCTTTTACAACATCGTTTCTTCTCTGAGAAGCACTAAACGGTCATGGAGCTGGGGCCATAGGGAGAGCTCCCTAGGGGTCCAGAGATGGGAGCCTGCTGGTAGCTTCCCTGGAGGCATGTGCAAAGACCTGTGGGGTGTGCAGGGTGGGAATTAGGGCCGTGGTCAGGCCTGTGGCTCAAAGAGGCAAAGTCAAAGACAAGGAGTCCCCACCAGCATGTGGGGCTGTTTGATCAAGGACATGAACATCATGCCCTTGGAGATGTATGTTTCTCCCTGCTCAAGGAGTCTAAGGTATTTGATTCCCAGGGCTGCAACTCAAGGATGAGGTTTAGAACAGAAGCAGATCCCCTGCCCATCTGCCCATCCTGCCCCTGCCAATGAGAACAGCCACTCAGGCTTTGGTTTCTAGAGAGATGGGCTATCGACAGTATTTAGCAGATACTTTCATGTCCGAAAACACGGGCATGCAAACTTAAAGAATGCGCATTGGAATGCCTAATCGGGGGGTGATGGGGTGGTGGTGAGGTGGGTGCACAGTGGACACATATGTAGATAATAACATCTGACTGGAAACACGTTCTGAGAGCCTCTTCCCATCCCTGAAGCAGGAATCATGGGCAAAGGGAATACATTACCTCAATACCCTTCTATGTTACATGGACTTCTTAAATAGGCATTTTAAAAAAATCTTTTTTTTTTTTTGCAGGGAGCAGGGAGATTACAAAATTTGTCTTTTTTATGGATCACGTTCTGATCGGGGTTAATCAAAAATGTTAAACTCTTCATAAATCTTGAGCTAGTTGAGAGTGTGACCAGAAGTCAATTACCATGTCGCTTCTGGCCCTCTGTTACCCTAGATCTGACCTCATGAGGGGAAGTGAGCCTACTGGCTCATCACGACTGGCTTAGCTATGTCCCATGAGGGTCTGGCATCCCATCTGTGGGAGGTGACAGAAAGCACTAGGGACTGTTTTGGTGGCCTCCGATTCATGATCCATTGTCAGTCCTTGGACAGGACTAGAGTTTTTGCTTGGAAGAAGCTTAAGTTTCCGCACAGAGAGCATGAGTCCTACAGCATCACAGCAAGAGAGGGGGCAGAGACAAGGCTGGGGAAGAAGGAGGGAGCCGAGGGGAGGGAGAGACAGGAGGAGGAACTGCTGACAGCAGACGAGCCCCTGGCAAAGCCCACCATGGGGCAGAGCACCAGCTCATGGGCGAAGACCATCCATCAGGCTCTCCCACTTGGCCTGCTGTCTCCCATGCTCCCTGGGCCTGGACCGGGCCTGGTTGGTTTTTCTCAACAAAGCCAGTTACCCTTCCAACAATGACTCTCTCCACTGTCTTCTTTGTACGCATCAAGCCTCTTTCCCTCCAGAACTCCGAGGCAGCGCCCGGGGAAACGTTGTAAATGCCTCCTTAGTGCCTGCTTCCTTATTCTCATCTGAGGACACGGGGAAACAACTTCCTCGGCACGTTTTCTGGGTCCCCTGAGGAAAGGCAACCTAGCGTTATATATAAATATCAGTGTGTAGCGAGTAAGCGTATTCAAACAACGGTCTTAAGAAATGAAGGGTTTTGTAACTTTCAAAAATGTTCCTTCTTGCTGGTTGTGAATGGAATCTAGTAGGCAAAACAAAACAAAAGCTCCTGCCTTCTAGTCATTTCTGACCCTCTGCCATCCTACAGGGCAGAGGACGCTCCACCTTTCTGCCAGCTGACCTGCACGGCACCACACTGTCCCTATGTCACAGGGCACGGACAGCGGAGAGGAGAGCTGGGGAAAGAGCCTCTCTTGATGGGAGGAGCACAAAGCGCGTGCCTGTGTTTCACCCAGGATACCCCCACCGCTAACCGCCACGCTTTCCATCCCTCGCCTGCCTCCCTGAGCCAGCAGGACTGCAAGGCAAAGTGAACCGCTTCCTCACGGTTCTGTGGGGTGGCTGGGCCGTTTCCCGCTGGTTTTGAGTAAGCTCACTGCTGTGCCCATCTTCAGCTGGAGGCTCGGCTAACCTGGAAGTGTCAAGAGGCCCCTCTCCGTGGTGGCTGTCAGCGGGGGCACCTCAGTTCTCTTGCAGGTGGCCACCTTTCTTCAGGGAAGATGCACTGCTTCTTGCCTGGGGAAGATCTGGGCCAATAGCACCGCCCTGTGGGGCGCTGGCATGATCCAGGGGGGACGCGAAATCAGACAGCTACGCTTTATCTTGGATTATGGGCTGTAGTACCAAACGTTTTAATTGCCAGAGGGGCACGGTATAAGTTTCTTTTTTTTTCCCCTGAAAAGGAGAAAGTAGGCCAATTAAGTTTGAGAACCTAAGCCTACAGGGGTGGGCCATTTGGATATTTATGACATCATTCTCGGCCATAGCTGGTCCAACATTGAATTAACTCAGCCCTAGCGTGATGGCCACAGCTGCTTTTCTTTGAGGTGTGTGATGCTCACTGGTATGGATTCCACGGGACTTTATGCCCCTGTCCCACAGACACCAAGCCGAAGCTGCCAGGCCCTCAGAACCCGACTTCCAGCATCCCTGTTGCCACTGCACCACATTCTACTGGTCAGAGCACATGGCATGGCCAGCCGAGAAAATGAGCTGGCTCTCTCTCAATGGAAGGAGCTCACAGTGCTGTGCCTGCATTTCACCAATACCCTGCCTGCTGGCCACCAGGATTTCCATCCCTCCCCTCCTTTGAAGTAAGCCTCAAAGATCAGTAGCCCAGGATATTGATCTGGTCCAGTCAGGGATGAGCCTGCCAACGTGGGCACATTTTCTCAGTGCAGAAGGCTGGGACTGACGAAAACAAGTTAACGTCCAGCCGGACATTCTGCAGAGCGAAGTGCAGGCCAACAGTCACACATTCCCCCCGCATCATGGGGTGAGAGTTAAGGTTATTGTACCAACCTGGCCAATAAACACATGTGGGATTAATCGAAGGGCGGAGAGATAAATGGCTTGGTGAGCCTCGCCTTTCTAGTTCTCGGGTCTCTTGTTCTCAGATGGTTGGGCCGGGGTGCGGCTTGCCTTAGCTGGCAAGGCTCACTTCCTGCAAGACATCCCTGAGAAGTCACATGGACCTTACCTGATGCAGCCCTGGGTGCTGGAGAAGCCGCGTGGAGACCCCTGCCAGTGCTGAGATGCTCACACCGCCACTGGATTCAAAGACTTTCTTTCCACTGGCCTGTGATCCGCTTGCAGTTGGCATCATGGCGTGTGTTTTGTGAGTTAAAGGACTTTGTAGATCGGTGTCGGACATATGGGCTAAGTCGGACTTATGGGCTTGGACTGGACTGGGTTAGGATGCTTTCTGAATGTACACTTACCCTATATATAAAACTCTCTCTTATACATATATGAGTTTGTGTGGATTTGTTTCTCTAGTTTACCCAGACTAACACAGTGGGCTACAATCAAAGTCCCCACTGCCACTAAGCCACTTGTCTGCAATAATCATGAACTGCGACTGGATACACATTGCCATCCTATTTCACTCAGACAAAGACAATGTTCTAACAATGTTCCACTTGAAAACAGAAAGGAGGGCGAGGCTAACGGGAGTGGTGCTGGGCCATCTCTCTGGAAGGCAATAGGAAGGGTGCATTGGAAGCCTGGTTGTGGGGTGTTTTCCAGTCGACTCACAGTGACCCCACGCACACCGGAAGGAAACACTGCCCAGCCCAAGCCCATCCTCACAATCACTGGCATGTTTGAGGCCATCATGCCAATCCATGCTTTCCCTTGATCCTCTGCTCACCAGGCCTGATGTCCTTCTTCCGTTATAAGGAGCATTCTGACTACACTTCTCTCGAGACACACTTGGAAGGATATGTCCTTCTTTGTTCTGGCTCTCCATGGTAATATTCACTCTTCTCTGCTAAAATCCTAATTCAAAGGCATCAATTCTTCTCTGGTCTTCCTTACTCAGGGTCCAGCTTAGACCCTTAAACTCCATGTCTAAACAGTTAGACTAAGGACATAAGAGTACTTGAAGTTTAATTTATAATAGCAAAAAGCTGGAGCTATATGTTCAAGACCAGGGGACTGGTTCAACAAATTATGGTTCATCTGTATTATGCAGTCATTAAGAGAAGGACATATGATAAAATCCATGACGTTAAATGAAAGGTAGGTTATAAATGTACACATGCAGTATGTCTACAATTTGGAAAACGTTTTAAACTAGTTACATGTATTTTAAAATGTAACAATAGTTATCTCTAATTGTAGGAAGAATGTTGATAGATAATGTATTTTCCAATTTTCTACCATGGGAAACAATGCTTTTATGTGAGGCACTGCCTTACTGTGTCTACGATCAGAATATTTTTTCTCTATGTCATATTTTTATAATTTCTGCTTTTTCTTCACTTTGATCCCAAATAAACAATACTAGCTGCAAAAGTAAGGATCCTAGGGCAGGAGGAGAGAAAACAGCTATCTAGGTGAATTTATATTCCAAGAGTTTCTACATTAGGAACCCCATAAGCTGAAGATGGCACACTTTGGAGAAAACCTTGACAAACGTTCCGTTACCCACAAGGTCAGCAGTTCAAAACCATAAGCCACTCCTTGGGAGACAGATGAGGCTTTCTACTCCCATAAAGACTTAGTCTCAGACACCTAACAGGGCAGTTCTACTCTGCCCTATAGTGGGTTGCTAGGAGCTGGAATGGACACAATGAGAGTTGAGTAACGGCAAAAAGAATTACCCCAAGGCATATTTATTGTAAGAATTAAATAAGCAAAATAAAAGCATAAAACACATGTAAAATATTAACTTTAAAAATTAAAATATAGGGAAACTACATAAAATAAGTATACATTAAAAGTACATTAGCAGAGCATCTCAGCATCCATATTTATGAAACTTCAGAAACGCAGCATCTCCTTGTTGAGTAGGGTCTGACATTTCCCACTTCCAAATTGAGGAAGAACACGTACGTGATTGTTCCGACCACTTTCTGGTTGTCCAGGGAGGAGTAATCCACGTCACTTCTTGCTCGCCTTTTCTACTACCCACTCAATCACCTGGGGGAGAAGAGACAACTGGTTGTGGTGTGTTGTATAAGACACCCGCACATGAAGCAGAAAAAGAGAGGTACACTAACACACTAAGGCACAAAGTACAGTGAAAAGTGGCAGGTCCCAAATCTTCAACTTTAGCTTTTTCCTAAGCGTCTACGGCAATAATGCAAAGTCCTGTAATGTTCTCGGGGATAAGCCGCAGTCTGCTTCATTTTCCCACTTTTATTTGAAAACGTGGCTAAAACATATTGCTAGAAAGAAACATCAAAAACAGCTTACCAAAAGTGAATTAAAAAATTAACTTTTTTTAGTCTTTGGACTACTTATCCATTTTCTTTCTTAGTATTCTAGGAACGCTTGTTAGCATAGCTTCTTATACTAAATACTATTAGATAATCTGAACAAGTTTATTGTTAACTATCGCAAATCAAAAGTTTTTATAGTGGCAGCGTTGATAACAATACTCATGGTTTTACGATGCATACAGTTCCATCATGCAGAAAAGCAAGAAAACCAACAATCCTCAATCCCATCAGTCCATCCCAGCCCACAGCAACCCTACAGGACAGGGAAGAACTGGCCCTGTCGGTTTCCAAACGAATTCTTTAGAGGAGTAGAATGCCTCGTCCTTCTCCCACGGAGCAGATGATGGTTTTAAACTGCTGACCTCGTGGTTAGCAGTCCGATGCGTAACCACTATCCCCATCATAGCTGCCCTGAAATAAAACACTGATTTAATTTAAGGTAGTTTCGCGGGAATAAGTCTCTTGCCTGTAAAACGTTGTTGTTTGCGGTTTTCTTCATTTCTTCAAATAGACCCCTTGAAGTTTTAAGATCCTAAATATTAAAAAAAAAAAAAAAAGCATTTTATACTGTGCACATAACATTACATAGACTGACCCATTATTGTGAGTATCACATGGCTTAAGTATCAGTACTACAGTAAGCAAAGCAGTAAGAGCATTCATGGCCTAGATCTCAACCCCGGTAGCTCTTAACTCAGAGTCCCCATGATACTGGTAAAAATCCTCCTCTTAACCCTGGTTCCACTGTTTAGACAGGGACATACAAGTTCACATGTATTTGTCAAAAGAAGCATCTTCCTGACCCCTGCCTCTTTTTTATTATTTTTGAGGGGGTGGTGGTGGTTTGAACAACAATGTTTATATTTATTAAATTAGATACACAAACACACACATTCTAATAAAATCACACCTACAGCCATCAAACTAATGATGACTCATCGCAACCCCTTTAGAGGCTTTCCAAAGCCGACAGTCTCATCTCGCTCCTGTGGGGTGGCTGGTGGGTCTGAACTACCAACCTTGTGGTTAGTAGTCCAATGCTTACCCTACAGTGCCACCAGGG